GGGTGCGCAGGCAGGCCCCCCTCCCATGCAGCACCCCTGCTCTGGGCAGCACAGACAGCCGACGCCAGCCCTCACCTGCCAGGCTACGCAGGGCCAGGGCCGGCCCCGCACGCCCCAGCGCTGGCGCAGGTCCCGGCTCCCAAAGGAAGGAGCCGATGGGTGATTCTGACTGTCCCAGCAGTCCCCCTGGCCTGGCGGGGGCAGCTGGGGAGTAGTCGCAGTCAGGGCCCAGCCAAGGGAGCAGCACGTGCAGAAAGGGGCTGGGTTTTATTGGAAAGAAGCTGGCTCCAAGGAGAAAGCATCAGGAGGGCTTGGCCCGGGCCCAGCAGCCAGCGAGCCGGGCCAGCGGGGATCTCTCAGCTGAGTCCCACCAGAAGAGGCCACAGCACGGGGAATCGGCGTCCAAAACACAGTGGCCACGGCCTTGGCTGGTGCCAGGCCCGAGGGGATTCGTACGAACCAGGGGCTGGGAGCAACGACCACAGCCCCGACCGCCTCGGGCACCGTCCATGGCTCCCGCGTGGCGCCTGCTGGGCGGGTGCGGGGCAGACACCTGGCCCCTGCGGGAGCCCCAGCCGTCACCGGAGCTTCCGGCGGATGGCGATGAGCTCCTGGTGAATGGTGCTGAAGCTGGGCCGTTGCCGCGAGTCGTACTCCCAGCAGCACTGCATCATGCGGTACACCTCGTCCGGGCACTGCTCGGGGGGCTCCAGCCGGACGCCTGCAGAGGGGCAGAGTCGGTCGGGGTGGGGCCACGGGAACCCCCAGGCTGTGGCCGCGGCAGTCCCACAGCTCCCCATTCCCAGCCCCACGTCTCCTGGGCTGGGGCAGCCTCGGAGCAGGCCCCTGGGATGGGTCCTGCAGCCCCAGTGCTCAGCCCCACGTGCTTACCCTGCTCGACGGCCTCCCGGGTCTGCTGGTTGCTCATGTGGGCGTAGGGCACGGCGCCCAGGCTGAAGGCCTCCCACAGCAGGACACCAAAACTCCAGACGTCGCTCTCCGAGGAGTACCGGCCTGGGAGCAAGCCAACGTGTCAGGCAGGGCCCAGGTGAGCTGGGCCTGCAGCAGCCCGCGCACGCCTGCCAGGGCAGGAGCATCCCTGCACCCAGGCCCCAGTGTCCTTTGCAGAGGGCACAGCCCGGCCCCAGTGCCAGCATGGCAGGATGGCACTCAGTCCTGCTGCCCATCTGGCCTGACCAGCAGCCAGGATTTCTGGCTCTTATACCCGACTCTGCTGCAGCCGTGCTCTGTGACCCCGGAGAGCCCGGTTCCCTCTGCAGCCTCGGCTGGCCTGCATGCCCTGAGCTGGGGATCTCAGCACTGGGCAGGGGTCCACTGCACACTCATACCATAGCTGAGTGCCTCCGGCGCAGTCCATTTCACAGGGATCTGCTTCATGCCGCCGGTGGAGGCGTAGATCCCGTCCTCCTCCTCCCGCGACATCCCAAAGTCACTGATCTTCAGCGTGTTCTTCTCCGCCACCAGGCAGTTGCGAGCCGCCAGGTCCCTGCAGGGAACCCAGTCTCAGTACCCCATCCGAGGGCGGCGTCAGGACTCCTGCACTCACCCCCAGATCCTGCCCCTGTCCCAGGGGACGGCAGTGTCCTCCCACCCCACGCATGGCAGTGACGGGGTGGGGAGGAGTGGCTGCCCCATGCTCAGAGGCCCCAGCAGGGAGGGCACAGGCTGGGATGCTGCAGCCCTGAGTGCTGTTACTAGCTGCACAGCTGGCTTGGCTGGGGGGACAGCATCTTGGCCAGGGGCTGCACAGCACCTGGGCACCCCTACCCCATACCACACTAAGGCTGTGTGGGGGACTGCTGCTGGGGGCAGTGGAGGGTGCCAGGGCCTGGCCCACGCACCGGTGGATGCAGTGCTTGCTCTCCAGGTATGCCATGCCGGCAGCCGCGGTTTCCGTCATCTTGAGCAGGTCCTTGACCCTCAGCTGGGCGCTGTCGTCGCTGCGCAGGAAAGTCAGGAAGTCGCCCCCTGGGACGGAGGGTTAGGGTTAGGGTTAGGCCCTCGTGGGTTTGCTATGCTGTGGTCACGGGGTGGTTGCAGCGCATGCTCCATGCGGGCAGAGTCTGGCAAGCCCGGGTGCTGCGGCAGCCCAGAACCTGGGCCTCCCAGTGCCTGGCTGAGGCCTCCCAGCCCAGCCCAGGCCCAGGCCCAGGCCCCCCCCAGCCACATGTGGTTTTGTGGCTGCACTGAGCTCAATGCAGCCATGTGAGCTGCATGCACCCTCTGCCCTGCAGCATGCCCTGTGCCCTGTGACCAGGCATGGTGCCCTGTGACCAGCGGGGTCCCCCAAGGCTCTGTCCTTGGACCCATATTGTTCAACATCTTCATTAATGATGTGGACACTGGAGTCAGAAGCGGACTGGACAAGTTCGCCGATGACACCAAACTTTGGGGCAAAGCATCCACACCTGAAGACAGGAGGTGATCCAGGCTGACCTGGACAGGCTCAGCAAATGGGCAGACGAGAACCTGATGGTGTTTAACACTGAAAAATGCAAGGTTCTCCACCTTGGGAGGAAAAACCCGTAGCATGCTGATAGGCTTGGCAGTGCTACCCTGGTTTGCACTATGGATGAAAGGGACTTGGGGGTCAGGACTGACCACAGGATGAGCATGAGCCTTTGATGCAATGCTGTGGCTAGTAAAGCAAGCAAAATGCTGGCTTGCATCCATAGATGCTTCTCAAGCAAATCCTGGGATGTCATTCTCCCCTTGTACTCGGCCTTGGTGAGGCTGCAGTTGGAGTACTGCGTCCAGTTTTGGGCTCCACCATTCAAAAAGGATGAGGAGAAGCTTGAGAGAGTGCAGAGAAGAGCCATGCGCATGATCAGAGGTGAGGAGAACAGACCTTATGACGACAGGCTGAGAGCCATGGGGCTCTTCAGCCTGGAAAAGCGCAGATTCAGGGGTGATCTGGTGGCCACCAATAAGTTTATCAGGGGTGACCACCAGCATCTGGGGGAACGTTTGTTCACCAGAGCGCCCCAAGGGATGACATAGATTCATAGATGTTAGGGTCGGAAGGGACCTCAATAGATCATCGAGTCCGACCCCCTGCATAGGCAGGAAAGAGGGCTGGGG